CATCAAAACAAATTTTCTTGTTTAGTTTTCTACCTAATTCAAGGAAATCTCCCTTTAGATCTTAAAAGAATTGTAAAGCAATATATCGAGAAAATTTTACATCCATTTTTAAATAAGATTTTGAGGCATCAACTGATGAAGTTAAAATGCTTTTATGAAATGCGATATTTTGCCATTCGATGTAAAAACGTTGACTTTAACAAATGCATGCAAAACAGACACCAAGAGTTAATGAGCGAGACAACTTATCAACAAAATACGTGCTTCGAGAGTATCGATGCACTATTTCTTCAGAAACTTGAGAAGGAAATCTCACAAGTTATGTTGCAAATTTTTAAAGGAACATTGACGACAGAAAAGTTTAATCTCCCAAATATCCAATAGTCTGTGCTTTTCTCAACATCGAAGAATTTATTTCAAAAAGAACATTTGGTAAATCAAATTTTGGCACTTAAGCTGATACAACTAACATTGATAATGAAAGTATCTTGAAAACTGATTTTGATATAAGTCCTCTTGAGGCATTGTTAGTTGCAAAAACAATTGGTTCCATAAGTAAATGGTAAGTACTGCTGATGAGAGAAGGATTTTACTCAAACTTCGAAACTCCTTTTTCTCATTTATTATCTAGTGAGGAATTCTGGAAATGGTACTGGAAAATCAAAATAAATTTCGAAGATACATTTACATTGGCCAAAAATTTGGAAAAAAGAGGAAGGTTAAATCAAAAGAAAAAATTACTTTTTTGCACTAACTTCAGAAAAAGAACTAAAATTTAAAGAGATTGAAAGAGCTGAAAAAAAAGTTAAAGCCGAAAATATGACGAAGAGAAAAAAAACACTTAAAAAGATTAAAAAATAGCTTAAAATAATATGGGGAAAAGAGTAAACAAAAAAGTGATCTAATTATAATACAGTCAAATCCTGCTATAGTGAACATGGTTTATAGTGAACTCCCGGATATAGTGAACGAAATGTTCGGTCCCATGCCTTGCTATACCCGTACAATGGTATTTTTTGTGGATATAGTGAACCAAAAAAGTGATGAAGTTGGATATAATGAACTTTTTTCTGTCTTCGACTAATTTTTTTCTTCATTTTTTTGTAATAGTTTTGAAATTTCTACTTCAAAATAAATACATATACCGATTTTTAAAACCATCTATAGGTAGCGATAAGCATTTTTTTCTTGTGTGCTTCTTTTATCTTACTTTCCCATCCCTAAACAAATCAAGTAGATGTTTCCAACCCAGGCAGATGATGCACCTGTAAGGTGCCAGTGGGATCAATATGCATTTTCTGTCAGAGGGAATGAGTGAATTTGACCAGAATTCATTATTGGTCAAAGAGTTGGACACTAATATGTGTCGATAAGGCCCTTATTTCAACTACTTTTTGCTCTCAGTTCAGTTAAAAAAAGCCTGCAAACAAGTGTCTTAAATTTAACTATGGCGAGCAGTAAACGTAAAATGTTCTCCATTGATGATAAAATGGGCATAATCAGAAAATTTGAAAATGGATGTAATCAAGCTGATATTTGCAGGGAATATGAACTATCCAAGTCTACAGTTCGTAACATATGGAAAAATAGGCAATTAACAATTTCTGCTCATGAAAAAAATTTAAATGGCAGAAAAAAGTTGTGAAAAGCAGACCACAAGGATATTGAAGAAGCATTGTTGAAGTGGTTCAGCATTCAAAGAAGCCGTAATCTTCCAGTATCTGGACAAATGTCGATGAATTTGCTAACTAATTTTACGAGATTACTTTTATGTGCTCGAATGGCAGGTTAGACAAGTTTAAAAAGTGGACTAACAGAAATTCAGGAAAAATTATCAGAAAGTCGGGAAATGTTTCCATATCTGATGTTGAAGATTGCGCAACAGCTAAAGATTACATTTTTTTTTTTTTGTACGCAGGACGAAGATTAATAAAAAGTAACAAATTTTTTGCTACTATACATTATATTTTTCAGTCATTTATTTGAATAACGTGTAAAGAAGGGAGGAATTTGGGAACCATTAGTTAAATTGCCCTCATAACGAATATAGTGAACCAAAATTTCGTTCCCTTAAAGGTTCACTATAGCGGGGTTTGACTGTAATAATAAAGACATTATCGGATTACGCAGTGATAAACATTCATAATTTAGAACTGAATATTAAACTGTGAGGAAAAAAATGAAAAACATTTTTTTTTAAATTATGTATTCAAACATATTTTACTTTCCATTCCATGACTGAAAAAAAAACATTTTCCTCGTTAACTGTGATTATATGTTGTAATTCCAAAAAAAAATCTTGTTTTTACACATTTGTGTGGCCTATGGATTCCTAACAAGCATCAAACATTCTCTAAATTAACTGTTCATTCACTGGAAAATTTAGTGTTTATTCACTGGTAAGAACTGTTCCTTCACTTGGTTATCTTACTACTTATTATTTAAACCACCAAAAGCTTAAAACAATATTATGTAAGTTATCTAACTTTTTTTTACATAATTTGCATTTAATAACAAATATGTCGACACCATCATTTAGCTAAAATTACAAATTTTGAAATTTTTATGAATTTTTTTTAAAGGCAAGCTAAGCTTAAGTGTTCCTTCATTGTTTAGTTTACCCTATAAGATGTTGAGAAATTTGCGATGTTGTGAGAGATGTTTAAAAATGTTGACTACGTATTTTTATTAATATTTATAAAATATATATTCAAGAAATTGATAAATATATTATTCCAAATCTATGCATACGTATGTATATTATTGAAATTGTATCAGTTATTGAAAAACAAAATAAAAAAATAAAAAATAGTCATATTAAATAAGCACAATCTGGTGTATAATCATATTATCAGAAGATCATATCATATCCTATTTTATAAAACTAGACATTCCTTGAATAAAGTGTTTTTTATTCAAAATGTTTTATTCAAATTTCTTTACTAATTAGCAAAGAAATTATTAAGCGACTAAAAAGGAAACATTGTATTTTATAGTTAGAAATAAATATAAATAAAAAGATTAGCAAACGATTATTAGCGAAAAAAATATTAATGAAATTTTACACTACGCGCGCGAAGTCAAGTTCCGCGCAAGTTTATCATATTTTAATATTAATCGCCCCATTTAACCATTTCTTTATTGTCGCCAAATTATTTTTCTTAAAATAATTAATTTTAATTTTTCTCAGTTTCTAATAAATAAAAACAGTTGAAACTTTGGATTTTTCAATTGAAAAAATATGTAGATTAATATGGTATAAAAAAATTCATACCTTATAATTCAAAATTTTTTCATCCTCAATTTAATTAAATAATAAAAACTAATTAATAATTATTAAAAATTAATTTTTTCATGAAATTATCTTTGAGTAAATGAGTTTTATGAGTGGGGGCAATTTTCTTTAAATTGCTTTATTAGTTTTAAAAATATGACTAGAAACGTGAAGAGTGAAATTAACATTAAGGGGTACGAACTTTGGATCGCTCTCCTGACCAAACTATGGGGACCATATTTCCCAGATTGCGGCTACCCCCTATATTTTGAAGGTTAAAAATCCAAATATGCAAAGAAAAATATATGTTTATTCGGAGAAAGTACGTTTTTGTGTCTGATTTCGTAACTTAATTACTAGTTAGCACTAATTAATTAGCATATTTGAAGTCACCCCCAGGAACCATTAAGATTGACACTTAGTTCGTGAAAATCCGATCATTAGAACAAAAGTTATTCAGGGTGATTCGTTTGCTTTTTTTTTTGCAGACTGTACATAACTATTTCAATTAAAGATTTTTAGACTATTTAATTATTTCCGTTACTTCCTTTCTTTTTAAATCCAATTTTCCTTATCATTTTCCATTCATTTTCAAATCACTATTTGATATTTTAAGTTGACCTGCATTGGTCGTTTTCCAGCATATATCGTTCGTAATGAATGGATGGTCCCTTTAAAAACAATCGATCGAGATTCTACTGTAGCTTTACCGTGATTAGTTTTATCCTCACATTGAAAAATGTAAAGAACCGTCAATATAAAGTACTTATTAAGTTACTCCAGAAATGATTTGAAATTTAATCAAAGTGTGACGCATTGCGTATTTCCCGTCGTAGGAGTAAGTAGGAAAAAAATGATGATTCCTCTCCTAACTAAACGTTTTATTCATCAATAAAAAGGAAATTATGAGAGCATAATTGTGATGAGAACATAACATAATTGTAACTGTTAACTGTATGCAATTGTAATTAGAACATAATTGTAACTGTGTTATGTTCACTGCGAACCGTACAAAACGGCAAAAAATTTAAATACGCCAATGTGTATGAACGCTGGATTTGTTATTAACTTGAAATAAAGTAATCGTTCACATAATTTTTTGAGTTCATCAACACCAAATTTGGATAGGTATTACACCACAGTTTTTACAGTATAGAGCCACCTGGGGGTGAATTTAGACATGTTTGTTGATACATTGTCCTACTGTTATGCATTCGTAATACATTGAATGTTTCGTCTAAATATTTTTATACACTATAAGAAAATTTCGCGCATCTTATTATCGAAAAGGGAGGCACTTACTTTACGCCAAAATGGTGCTCCACTAAGCGTTAACCCAAAGAATGTTCTGTTACACTACTTAGTGTAAAGCAGCTGCTACCATTTTTTTGTACTTGAAGCTGATTAATTTTAAGTAGTATTCCTTAAAATAGTCTTTTCATCAGCACTGATATTATTTCACACTTCAAAATTTATTTCTCTCATTAAATCCGGAAAAAAAGGAAAAAATTGTTGAAAGATTAACCTTTAATACGTTTATAATACGTATACTAATACACAAAATATTCCATTTTCCTCGTTATATGTGTGTCCTCCTCCTATTAAACAAAAACACTCCTAAATGTTTTTAAAGTAATTACTTATCCCTTTGAATGAAGCAAAAATAACTAAGAATAATAATTTTGTTGATTTCTCAATTATCCTTACATAAGGAAAAGGAAACAAAAAGAGGGCGTTAAACTTTAAAAGATTTGGCATACTAAATAGCATATTACAAAGATGTTCCTTATAGGATTTAAATTAACTTTAGCGTTAAATCAGATATGTAGGGACAGAAGTGTTAGGAACAATTAAATATCTGCATAATGTCTACTCTTTCCCACAATAGTAAATGTTTGGAATGTTTTATTTTTATACTAATTTCTTTATGTTTTATACAAAACTCTGTTAGTCAGAACCTCTCAAATAGATCTGCTTTCTCAAGTGTTCTCGGCGCAAAAACTTTCTGTGAAAAATCAGATTCTCCTGCCACAGATGAGTTTGAAAAAAGTGATTTAAATAATGCGTCGTTTGTTTCCCTATTTTTCAAAAACTTTTTAAATAGCAATACAAGTAATCAGTGTAAAGATAGTCTCGTTATTTATTTGAACGAAGTTATTAATTTAAAGCCATGGGCAATAGAAAGTAAGTACATAGTTTTACTTCCATTTCTATCTTCCTGCGATTTTTATTTAGATTTATCTTTTATCTTTTGTAAAATACTAAGCGGTTTTTGCAAACAAACGACTGTAATATCAAGTGAGTGAGTAGTCTTAAGCATCAGCTCTAAACGTACAGATTCTGTAATTTCTGAATAAAAAAAATTTTCTCGCGTGGTTAAGAAAAAGCTGAAATGAATAAGTTGGATAAAAGAACTTGTCAAAATCAATAAAATTATACGCATTAATTTACACAGGTTCAGTTATAACTTAGAGCGTATATTTTAGTTTTATTTGTGCTTCATAATTATCACGTTATAAGGATGCAGTTTATCAGTAAAGATCAATGAACTGAGTTGTTGATTTTTTTAAGAAATTTCTTTATTTTTTTTTCTTTAGATTTTTATTCATTTTACAAACTTCTGTAAGAATAAATATGTTATTAGCTATCGTAAAAATAAAGAGCATATTGTATTTTATTGTATTAACGTAAATTGCATTTCAAAGATCTAATTCCAGATTAAATTTAAACCTAATCACTTTGTTTGGTTACCATTTCAATTTCATCCAAAATTTTGTTTTTTTTAACTTTGGTTACTATTCAATTTTTGGTCACTCTAAAATTTCCCTGAATGCTTCCTCGCTGAAAGGATTATTTAGGAATAGTACGAAAAGGTAATCTAATCATTTTTTACAATTATTTTTCATTATTTTAGTCGCATATGTTGACTGGATACATTTAATTGAAAGATTATAATAAAAATCCTGTTAATTAATTAACTTGTTTATCTATAATAATAAACGAAAAAGTTTTTTGCCTGTGAGTATTGAGTATAGTAAAGTGCGGCGTGCTCTCTGCTTTCGCTTATAGCACTGCGTTTCAATAGGTAAGGCTTAATTTAGCCTAATAAGATTTATTTGAGCTCTGAGGTTCTTCTTCAAATTCAACCAAAATCTCCAGATTTGACGTGTTTATTGTTTTGTTTAGGAGAATTTTTTTTCTTGCCTGTGTGTATGTCTGTATGTCAGGACGATAGCACATACTCTTAACAATTTGTGCTATCAGAAACTTAGGAAGCGGGATAAAGAAATACTTTTAGCCCCTGATCTTCAAAACAATTCAAAAATTTCGTTTAAATCGTCAGGGTGAGAAATTTAAAAGGCAGAATTTTCTCATTGGCCTAGCTTCGTTATCGTTATAAAATTCAATAGAGAAGATTCTAGTTTTCCTTTACAAATATTTAAAAAATAATATCAGAGATGATTTCTAGCTTACAACTCTATTTGTTCAAAAAAATAGTTTAGTGCACGTTTGTAATATTATATTATTTTTTATTCGTGACGTCAGGTAAGATCAATGATAAACGTGGATGACATATGTAGCTACATATATTTTGAGATGCTTACTTTTAAGGTTAACCTAAGCATTAAATGTAGAAGCAAAATTCACTTTAACTTAGATGTATATTTTATTTTATAACAGTCGTTGAACAACCGACCCAATATTTTGGGCTTACGACAGCAATGTTCAACTCCGTACCCTTGTAATTTTGAACCGAATGCAGAAGACAAAGGAACTCCTGTATCAAGTGCTTTGAAAAATTTGCCTTCGTGGAGGACTTTTTGCTCGAACAAACTCTCATTTGCGTTACATAGAGAGGAAAACCACGAAAGCTTCCGATGGTTATCCTCATGGCAAGTGAACTCTAACTCATTATCAGACTATCTCTGAGGATATTTTACGTCAGTACTGTGGTCGTTTCGAGTCGGGTGCGGAATTCGTATTAACCAGCCATCCCTGGGATTCGAACTCGGTTAACTTCATTGGAAGGCAAATTCTCTATCCCCTGAGCCATTACGGCTCACTTAGATATTGAATAATTGCGTCATCCTCAGAGATGTGGTGGCTCAGGGGATGTAGCCTTCGCCTCTGACGTGAACAGGGTTCGAAACCCACTCATGGCTGGTCGATACGAATTCCACACCCGGATCAAACCGACCACAGTGCTGACGTAAAATAGTCTCAGTGGTAGACGGATCATGGGTCAGAGTCTCCTTGCCGTCAGACTAACAATGGGAAATTTTCGTGGTTTTCCTCTCCGTGTAAAGAAAATTTGGGTAAGTTCCATCAAAAGGTCCTACAAAGGCAGAAGCAGACTTGCTTTTAATAGTTTTAACTTATTTCGAGATGCTTAGCTTTAAGATATACATAAGCATTAAATATAGAAGTAAATTTTACTTACACTTAATGCTTTTTAATAATTGGATACCTGCAGTGTCGTAGGTATATCGATCCTCATTGGTTGTTGAAACGTGGCATTTGTTAACATTAGCAACTGTTCTTTCCATTCTTTTTCGAGTAAGCAAAACCAGTCAAGTATCAATTCTCAAGTATCAATTTTGAGGTAATAGTTTACAAACGGGGCCCCCTCTAATTTTTGGTGACATGCAAATAAACAAATGCATATTATACATATAAATAATCCAAGAACCAATCACGTAAGGAAAAACAAAAGTTGCAGTAACCCGAAGGTAACATTATTGAAAGCTAAGACCACAAAGTATATCATTGTAAGCAGAAATGAGATTCACAAAACTGAACAAAAATTATCGCCAAACAAAGGACACTAGATTCTACACTAGAGCCTTAGAATTTATTATTGTTCTAATTGTGTCGGTATATGCTTTAATTTTTTGTACATAAAACATAGTATTGATTAATGCCAATTTATAATTTACTTTTTCCCCCTCACGAGGAACGAGTATTCNTTACAATCGGGGCCCCCTCTAATTTTTGGTGACATGCAAATAAACAAATGTATATTATACAAATAAATAATCCAAGAACCAATCACGTAAGGAAAAACGAAAGTTGCAGTAACCCGAAGGTAACATTATTGAAAGCTAAGACCACAAAGTATATCATTGTATAAGAAATGAGATTCAAAAAAACTGAACAAAAATTATCGCCAAACCAAGGGTCTCCCGATTCTACACTAGAGCCTTGGAATTAATTATTGTTCTAATTGTGTCGGTATATGCCTTAATTTTTTGTACATAAAACATAGTATTGATTAATGCCAATTTACAATTTACTTTTTCCCCCTCACGAGGAACGAGTATTCAGCTAGTTGCTTAATAATTATAAAACGGTTCTAAGTTTAGTCAGTGATTTAAATATGCAAACCATATAATATTGTGGCAATATTACAGGATTACTTTATAATAAAGTAATACCGCTTTTATTTTTAATCATATAATTTGAAATAATAAGGCAGAAAGGCATATACTGTAGTGCATCAAGTCCAACAATACACAACATCAAAATAATCGGTAAAAATATACTTGAGGATGCCCCATGGCGAAATTGGCGACTTATGTTTGGCGCCATTCCTGTTTGCGCGGAGCACCATGATAAAAGAAATGGCGGCCAAAACTTAATGATATTTCAATAAAACATTGAAAAATTTCAACAAAACATCGGCCAAAACTTTATTAAATTGCAATGAATAATAAGCAAAATTAATAAATCCAATAAAAGTATTTTGAATCGAAACAAAAATTAATGGAGTAAGCACAGAAAGAAAAGGGAAAAAAATACACTTCATCATTAAGCTTGAATATCCTCAGATTTAGGTGCACAGAATTCGCTAATAGCAGTTAGATACTGTCTAAATTTATCATGAATAGAATCGATGTACCTCCATCGCCACATAAATTCGGTGAAATAGGAATCGAAAATGGCGTCTGTGATAACGGTTAATAGGCAAAAGTAACCTTACCAGCCGGTATCCAACGTAGAACTAAAGGGATCTCTGAAATTACATAAACCGTTGAACATTTAAAAATAACGCTAAAATCTAAACCAATTGGATTTCAACATCACCCAGCTTGGTGATCAACTACAATCACAACTTATCGAGAATCAAGGGGCACTGTAAATTCGTGTAGTAAGTGGTAAGTGCATGGTAATTATAGTGTCAGATAAACCAACAATTTCGTTTTCAGACTGCAGTGTCGATTTTACCGTAGCAGAGTGAATTTCATTTGAATTTGACACATCGGCAATTTTATCGGCCATCATTGCTAGTTTATTTAACTCGTCAGAAGAAGTACTAAGTATAGCTTGCATCTGTGTAGGCAGTCTTTGCAGCCATAACGATTTCAAAAATTTGTCATATCATTAACTGGAGGTGAAATAATTATATCACTTACTTGCGCCAAGATTTCAGTTTCGATTGATGCAACGACAATATGGTACTTTGTATTGTCTTGTGTTATTCCATTCGTAATGAATTGCGATTCGACTTGCGAAAACCAGATGATAAGATTATCTTTCCAAAATTGTGGACATTTTACGGCAACTCGAGCCAATTCAATAGTGCCAGTTTCATTTTCATTCGTGTTCGGCATAATTCACAGTTCGTTGTCACCAGTATAAATTCTCTGTCCGGGTCACCAGTGTAAATTCGTGTGGTAAGTGGTAAGTATGGATCAGAAGGTGAATTAACTTATCAATAATCACGAATTCACATAACAAACAAACTTAACAAATTTTATTACTAAATTTAACAGATCTGTAAAAAAATGGCAAGAAAAAGAACGATAATGATTTTTTTATAAAAAGCAAGCGCGTGGCTAGATAATGATTGCACGCGACAACTGGTAGACGGTTTCAGCGCAGTGAAAGTATTTAACGATAGATGGCGGTCGCCACAGCACCCTCAAATATAGTCTACAAAAATAATCAAAGTAAGAAAAGAAAAAGCGATACAATAAACAAATATTTCGATACATTTGAAATAGTAGTAGTGTGTTGTGAGTTTTCAAACATTTTGCTTCATAAAAATGCCTCGATAGCTCTTATGGCATTAAATCATGGGATAATTCTTTAAATTGACCAGAAGGAAATATTTTTTAGACGAACAACAACTTAATAACTTTTATAATTTTGTACTCATGTCAACCACTTACAAAACCATTGATTTTCGAGCTGAAAAACCATGTTATATCATATCATTTATCTGTCCAATAGTAATGCACTGGTAAGTCATCATTTTCATCAGATTTTCTGTAAATAAATATTTTTGGCACTGCTTTTGATTGCATTTTCGTTTATTTCTCGCTTAAATAGTAATTTAAAATATTTAGTAATTGAACTTTTGATGAGATTTTAGACAAAGGTTCTAAAAATGTAATTACGAATGGAAATTACGGATCACATAAAGTCTAAAAATATTAAATAAGTAATTGACTAGCAAAAGCATGAATAAAAATAAAAATATTAAAAAATAGCGGGCTAGCAAAAGCATGAATAAAATAAAATAAGCACATAAAGAGTTAAACAATAAAATAAAAGCAGACGATAAAATTATATGACCTTTTTAGAACAACAAAGTTACTGTTTTTTTGGAAATTAGTTTTATTTTGGAATTTGAGTTTTCTTATAACAGGTTTTTTAGTTTGTTTTATAATATTTTAACTATCCCGTTTCGGGTACTTCATATTTGTTACTGTTTGTGAATAAAAGTTTTCTATAAGAAACAGAACTGTTATTTATATAGCTTGATACGTTACAAGCACCAAACTTTTCTTGTAGTGCTGGATGCATCAGGAAAAATATCGAGCAGCATTTTCAGTATAACCATGGTCGACTACGGATCTTTGGACGACTGCATCAAAGTAAAGGCAACTTCAAACGACGGAGAAAAATTATTTAAAGGGAAGTTTTGTATGGTGCACTTGAAACATCCTCTTTTCCAAACACCAAACCGTAACCCATTAATTGGAAAAAGCTACGGTGAAGCATTCGGTGTACCTCCTGAATGGGTAAAATTTTGCGCATTATTTATTTATAGTGAAATGTATTTAATAAAAATACAACTCAATTTACAGTTTCGTTAAACATTTTGACAACATTGATACTAGTTATTGTAATATCATTTTTTAATATTATGTACACTTAATATTTATCATCAATTCTTGGTTTATTCATGGCGTTTTCTGAATGAAAAGCAGAAAAATTTATGGGGAGTTTTTATCTCAACTTATGTAAAATTTGCTAACTTTGATGCATCTTTTTTCAGAAAATACTGAAACGATGATCGAAAAAAATTTTATTCGCTCTTCTTGTAATTTTGCACTTTTGCGATTTCTTTTCGTTTTTTAAAATTTAAATTTTTTAATCATACAATTCGCACAGTACATCATATAAATTACAATTCATTTAAATTATATAATAAAATTGCAAAATAGAGATAAAAAAAACGTGTTAAACTACAACTAGTCGCATACACAGATACTTAATAAGTTGAAGGTCCAGACAAGATCTTTTCACAAACCCAATTCTAGTGTAAGACTTTCTTAAAGTGACAGATTGCATTGACCTAATTGAGCGTTCCAAAACAATGGAGATATGCAACAACAACAGCAATAATAGGTGGGACAAATAAAAACTACAATACCATTCAGCATTTTCTGAGAAATTCTAAATCAAAATTATCTCCTCGAACACACACTTGCAGAAAGCAACTGACTACCATTTATATCATTTTAGCTAGTACAGACAACAGAAAAAATAAAGCTGCTTCACATACAAGTTAATTTAGAAATTAATCCATATAATTATAACAGTCCACTGATCGGAAAAGGAGCAAGTACAGCAATAAATAATTAAAAGTGAACAATAATCAATTTATAATTCGAAAAGGGACAATAAACAGTCAAAAAGTGGAAAAGGACCCTTAGGATTACAGTCTGATCCCTGAAAGTTCGTTATTGTTCTTCTTTCCAATATAATTTGTCTTTCTGATATCCTGGGAACTCCTTTCTAGTCCTTGAGATCTTAAAAATGGCTTGAATTCACAATGTGTACTTGGAAAATTCAGCATACATTGGTAGAGAGTACTCCTATTTTAAACAGCTGTCATGGTCATTTACTAGCGTAGCTAGCTATTTTAAATTCTTATACCTATCGAGTGTCGGTTGTAAATGGCGAATATTAGCATTATTATTTGAAAGTGAGATCGTGCTTGAGCTTATTTTTTAAACGAGATTACTGGTCTCAATAGATTTCTCGGTTTCTGATGCTGGACAACCTAAACGGCAGAAAGTAAAACTCATCAAACTAGGCTTAACTCTAAGGCTGTTTCTCGAAGGCTCTGTAGTCACATAAAGTTATGCTTTTCTTGTGAATAAAAGGCTATTTTCATAACTGATGTGTGTTTGCATCAGAATTTTCTCACTAACATATTTAACACTTTAACCTTAATTTTTATCTTAGTTTCAGTCTGAGATAATGTCTTATCAAATCGTCAATTTTCCTTTATATTTTATTGTCAAACTAATACTCACAAAGACATTGTAGAGCGTTGAGCTAAATTTTAAATTCTTATACCTATCGAGTGTCGGTTGTAAATGGCAAATATTAGCATTATTATTTGAAAGTGAGATCGTGCTTGAGCTTATTTTTTAAACGAGATTACTGGTCTCTATAGATTTCTCGGTTTCTGATGCGGGACAACCTAAACGGCAGAAAGTAAAACTCATCAAACTAGGCTTAACTCTAACGCTGTTTCTNAGGATAGTCTACTTTACTCGTCTGTCAATTAATACTAATAATATATTGGATTTTTTGTTAGTTAAAAATAGTTAAGTAAAAAATGTTACAATTGACCCCACTCTCCCCTACTCCTATTTTGAACAGCAGTCATGGTCATTTACAAGGGAAGCTACAAGGAAGCCTAAGGGAAGCATATAAAAAAAGGAAGTAAATTAAAACTAAATTAACTTCCTCTCTATTTTACTTTATTATTTTCTGTGCTTAGTAACAATTCTCGGAAAAATAAAAAATGCGTTTACTCTAACGCAGATTATAAAGATCAACTCTAAAAATATTTTTTGAAGTATAATGGATATGAAAAATCCTTTTTGACATCACTTCGCTTTGCAAAAGATGTATAACTTAGTATATGTTTACATAATATCGAAATTTATATCTGTGATGTGATATTGTTCATCATGCATTCACTTTCTTTTTCTCACTAATTTATTTAACACTTTAACTTTAATTTTTATCTTAGTTTCAGTCTGAGATAATATCTTACCAAATCGTCAATTTTCCTTTATATTTTATTGTCAAACTAATACTCACAAAGACATTGTAGAGCGTAGAGCTAAATTTTAAATTCTTATACCTATCGAGTGTCGGTTGTAAATGGCGAATATTAGCATTATTATTTGAAAGTGAGATCGTGCTTGAGCTTATTTTTTAAACGAGATTACTGGTCTCTATAGATTTCTCGGTTTCTGATACGGGACAACCTAAACGACAGAAAGTAAAACTCATCAAACTAGGCTTAACTCTAAGGCTATTTCTCGAAGGCTCTGTAGTCACATAAAGTTATGCTTTTCTTGTGAATAAAAGGCTATTTTCATAACTGATGTGTGTTTGCATCAGAATTTTCTCACTAACTTATTTAACACTTTAACTTTAATTTTTATCTTAGTTTCAGCCTGAGATAATATCTTATCAAATCGTCAATTTTCCTTTATATTTTATTGTCCAACTAATACTCACAAAGACATTGTAGAGCGTAGAGCTAAATTTTAAATTCTTATACCTAACGAGTGTCGGTTGTAAATGGCGAATATTAGCATTATTATTTAAAAGTGAGATCGTGCTTGAGCTTATTTTTTAAACGAGATTACTGGTCTCTATAGATTTCTCGGTTTTTGCTGCGGGACAACCTAAACAGAAGAAAGTAAAACTCATCAAACTAGGCTTAACTCTAAGGCTGTTTCTCGAAGGCTCTGTAGTCACATAAAGTTATGCTTTTCTTGTGAATAAAAGGCTATTTTCATAACTGATGTGTGTTTGCATCAGTTACTTATGAATTTTAAGTCAAATTTAGCTTATCTTTAGCTAGCGCCCTCTATGTTTATTCTGAAAATGACTCAAAACGTCAATATGGAGAAAAGCAACAGTTCTCAGAAAAAGAAATCTTTTTATTCTAATTTTTTATATTTAAAAACTTACTTTAATACTGCATTACTTGAGCTACATGCACGCAAAAATCAATAGGGGATTAAAGGTTGAAAATTATGAGACCAACGAAGCAGTGATAATGCTACGATTCTGGGTACGCTATACTTCAACTTTTCTCTGTTGTTCGACAACTTCCCCTTAAGATTGATGCATTGAATGAGCAATCCAGATGAAAGGCACTAACGTTCTTTGCATCATTAAAATACAATTTGCAATACCAAGACTGATAATGGTGCTAAATATATAAACTAAATATAACCTAGCACACATACTTACAAAAGAAATAACAATTTTTTTCCACAAGAAAACATCCCATATCCACAGTAAAAGCAATGATTTTCACCACGTAAAAAAATATGAATAAGCTAGATAACTTGAGTCAAACTAGTTAAGTGAGAAAAGTTAACTTGAATTCTTGAATACGGCTGTTCTTATTCTTTTGTTGAAAAGGCAAACTAGAACACGTTTCTTAATAACGAAATTAGATATGTTATGAATCGTAATTATGCATCGTAAGCGATTGGTTAAGTTGGTATGTTGGTATCATTACTTGCATCACTGGAGTCACGATGTTAAAAAAGGCTTTGCTAAAACAGATTAAATCTAGGTAAAAAAATATATAGATGTCATTTTATACCAGTATATAGATTGTCACTATCAAGCCAAGCATTGATTTCAGTAAATGATGGAGAATGAAGGAAGCAATTTGAAACGAACTACGAAAGCTGATTTGATGACTGGCGATTGATATTGAGCAAAGAGCAGTAAAAGAAATGAAAAGAAATTAATGATGTAGTAAAATATTATGTTAAAACAGATTTAAATTAATGCGCAAGCTTGCACTTAGACGTTACAATCACGGTATTGGTTTCAGTTATTAATGAAGTGAGGACAAAACAATTTGAAAAGGACTTCAAAAGCTGATCTGGAGTTTGGCGACTGATAACAAACAGAAAGCAGTAAATTGAAATAAAAACAACAACATGGTGCCTACTTTGTAAGCACATACAGAAAATAATTAAATTCAAAGATTCTTAAATTTTTTGTGTCCCATCACTGCAAAAAGGTCTATAATGGGCACCCATTGTTCGTGTAGATAAGAAAGGTTGAGCTCAAAATTGAAACGGCATAGACACTTGAAAATTAAGTATTTATCTTTAAATTGCGAGTATGTAAATGGGTAAATTTTGTTTTCAGATTTGAAAAAAATATTAAAGCCAACATATTCAAAGTCATTTTTAAGCACAATAAAACAACAGCTCCCTTTGTAAAAAAGTTCTTCCATTGTTGCCAGACATTTAGTAGCATTGAATTTTTCTTTGTCTTCACAACTAATTTTCATGACGCGCAAATGTTTCAATCCATGGCTTATTACTGCTTGGCATTTATACAGCCTTGAATATTTTGCAGATTAGGCACCATATTGAAAGTCACATACCATTAAGATTTGCCTACCATGGGGGAATATGCTTGCCATCTACCTGCACTGATGAAGAAGTTGAGAACGTCATCAGTACTCGTAAGACATTACTTTATCATCTATTTCTGCTGTTTCTTCAAAATCTATAAAATATATTTCTCTTTTTATTATTAGAATTGACTGCAAATTAGAACTCTATCCTGATGCCATGCTGTCATTTTGTATGCACAAATCTTCTACTTAAGCCGAGAAAAAGTTTTTAAGTTTTCTTTTTTTATTTTTCTTGTTTTTCTTAGAAGTGCAATTCTTTCTGAAATATTCCATTTCTTTGTCTTTTTTAAGGGCAATGTCATTTTTAACATAAATGGATGTAGATTTTATTTGTAATTAGCATATCGTATGCTTTGACAGTTATTTAAACTAATGCATTTAGATTGAACTCTAAAACAGTCAAGTAGATGGATGTCGAGAAGCATTTCCTTTAGAAAAGTTGTGACCGTTTGAGTTGATAAGGCTAGCTTATCACCAGCTCCAAGACTGCGGGTTCGAAAGCCCATGTTGAATTTTACTCTACATGTCCAATGAGTGGCTCTGTGCTGCTGATAAAATGTAATATTACGCTGACTATTAAAGAAATATATTGAGTGAAAATCTCAATATACGAGGTATATCCACAAAGTAAGTTCCGTTTCTATTTCTATCCGCGGCAGCGCTGCGAACGCAGTTCCGAGCATGCGCGCTAGTTACTCTGACTCAAGCAGAAGAATTGTGCGCCATTTTCAGATNGTTTAAACAAAAACGTCAGAAAAACACAAACATTTTCACAGATTTTCAACTTCACGCCGTTTTCGGTTATGTTTTTTTTTCTGGAATTAGCAAACAGTTAACTTTTTCAATTGTTAAGAAATATTTTTATTACTGATTAAAGTTAAGCAAGAACGTCAGATAGGCATAAATAGTTACTTAATTTGCAGTTAATTTCCTCAATTGTGGAATAGTGACTATTTATGAAATATTCTATGTTATTGACGAAGATCAAACAAGAACTTCAGATAATTGTAAAAAACTAGTTAGATTTCTCTTTTTGTTGCTATTTCTTTCGTTATAATTAACATACAGTTAATTTTCTCAGTTGTGGAACCATTGGATTTAGATGCCATTCTTACAGACTGCCAAATTGAGGAACCTCTAGAAGTACCTATTTCAGCAATACTTTGTATGTAAGTAAAATATTTTGATTAAAATGGGATGCAAAAGCTCAAATTTTTTAACGTTAATGTGGCTAATATGTTATTTGCATGAATTCGGTGAGAATCACTCTTAATCTATATTTTAAAATAAAACTTGTCTAAATGATGACAAAGAGTATTTACATCAGAGATCAAGATTAATATATTTGCGAAAATAAGTAAAAACCGCTACTGAAATCTGAAAAATCACATTTCAGAAAGTTGATTGTACGAAATACTAAGACATTTTTGATTGCTGGTTGAAACTTCAAAGCGTTTCGGATAGCTGTCTGTGAGCCTTTCTCTATTTATTCCGATGATCAAACATGTTTGAAACAAAGAAACATGTTTCCTACAACAATACTCGTGATGAGTGAGATTTAGATAGCTTGAGATTAGATTTTGCGCTGTCGTGCCACAGGTCACTGGTTCGATTCTCGGGCCGAGAAAGGTTGACTCAGCCTTTCATACCTTCAATGGGTCGATAAATGAGTACCAAGCATGCTTGGGAACTAAACACTGAGGGTTCCGCTTGGCTAACAACCTGACCGGAACATCTGCTCCTGCACCCTAGAGCCCAAGGTCAAGAAAACTGAGATGGGCACAGTAGGCCTTGGCTCTCTATGGGCTGTAGCGCCGCTGAGTTTTAGTTTAGTTTTAATATTTAAGCGACATCTTATTTTCCAAATAAAAATTCTTTTTTTTAAGTGCTAAAAATAATAATAACAATGAGTAAGAAAAATAATATAAAAATTGAGAAGCTGTTTTGTTCTGTTATTTTTTCCTAGCGAATGTACATCTACTATACTTAAAATCTTTCTCTTTTTTTCGGAAGGGGGTAGTAAAATAGAAACCTTCATAATATAAATTTTCTGGACTTCAACTTGTTACTTTCACATTATTGTTGCAACTATATTTAAATTTCAGCAAAGAGTGATTTTAAAATAGAATATCAATTTGAAGATTTTTGTTTAAAGAATTGCAGTTTGTTAATTGATTGAGCTACTGAAGTTACGAGAGTTTTTAACATTGAAATAAAGATTCATTTTTGGTCTATTATGTCTTTACATTGCAGGTGAATTAAAGCTATTTTCAATATAATTAAATTTATTTTCATTCAAAATAAATTAATTTTTATTACAAATATTGGGATTTTTTATGACTAATTATATTAATTAGTAATTAGCAATTGTGTTGTATTGGTTGTTTTAATTTTACAAATCTTAAATTAATAAGTANAGAGTGATTTTAAAATAGAATATCAATTTGAAGATTTTTGTTTAAAGAATTGCAGTTTGTTAATTGATTGAGCTACTGAAGTTACGAGAGTTTTTAACATTGAAATAAAGATTCATGAAACTTTAAATTTCTGATCTATTATGTCTTTACATTGCAGGTGCATTAAAGCTATTTTCAATATAATTAAATTTATTTTCATTTAAAATAAATTAATTTTAATCACAAATATTGGGATTTTTTTATGACTAATTATATTAATTGTTATGTTTTAATTTTACAAATCTTAAATTAATAAGTACTTATGGTAATATGATTAGTTCTACCTAGAGCCTCCTCCCCCGAAAAGCATTCCTAGCTACAGCTCTGCTGCTGATTATACCTCTCACGTTTTCTTGTGGATTGAAATCCAGGGAAAAGGTGTGTCACATTCCATAGCATGCATCCTATTATCCAAAAAATATTACTTGTGAAAATTCCAACATCCAATCTAACTCAGTCCAATCCAACTCGTGTCAAACAAGAACGAGAACTCGTCTGTTCCATCCCAATTGCTTACTTTTGATTGTGGGTAGCTTTAAACACGGACTACTTTTCCATACCTTCATATTGCAAATTGTTCGCAGGTTATCAAAAGCGAAATTATAGAAGAGAACTAAAGAAAAATTCTCCAATGGACAGCAATGTAAAGGATCATTAATAATGTGGGGAGATTTTGACGAAAACTTAACGTGGTGTTTCCTCAATAACGGACGTATGCAGCCTGCAAATGACCAGAAAAGGCTACAAACAATTTTTCTAACATTTGCCCAGGGAATTTGGTGGATCTAGGCTTGATTTTCAAACAGGGCAACGATTCCCTTCTCATTGTAAAACCTTCACTGAGATGGCTTTATAATGATCGAGTGAATGTCATGGAATGATCTTTTTTCTTTTAAATCTCATTCCTATTGGGTTTGTTTAACGTTTAAAAATAGAATTAAGAAAATTAGGTAAAAAAAAGATAAAGTAAAAAAAAAATTATTAATGAACAAATTAAATGCTAAAAATAGAATATCCCTTTAGAAGGATATAAAATATTTAACTAAAATTACTGGCCAAACATAACAGTGAAGGTATTAAAATTTGCTTTGTTAAAGACTGGTTAGAGTTCTAAAGAAATTTAATAAAAAAAGGAATAAACATTATCTGGAAATGCTGAAAGGGAATGGATTGAAAATTAAAGTAAATTCATGAGACAGATAAAAAAAATTGCAAATTATAAGTAAAACTCACCACATTTTTATTTCACACGTTATTTAAAACATTAAGAGAACATTATTAGATATTTAACTTGTAAACACATTTCATACTTTATTTCTTCATTGACAAACGATAAATGTGCTAAATCAATTACGATGCGGAAAGATTGGGCATAGCTTGCTCAAGAATGAAATTTTTTCGTATCACTCGTTGAATTACCTATGTGCATCCCCTAATGCACATCAGTGCATCAGGGTACACCACCACGCCAGTATATCATAATTCTTTCACCCAGGGAAAAAAGGAAGACTTCTGGAACTTACTACTAGGTGTTGCCATCACTTCAAGAAGGAATCTGTAGATACTCAGCCCAAATGCGTCGTCGAGGGGAAAAAGTCAGTTTATTTTCATGATGTATAGAGTGGGTGAGGCAGTTGTTGTAAGGTTGCCTGTGCGGGTGTTGGCTCCTTTTTTAAGATCTGTTCAAAGCATTTTCTTGCATTAATGTTAAACAAGGCTTAACATTTCCCCGTGTCCACGGCAGGCCCATTCAGTGTATGGAAGAATTGAACAGTACAATCAAAGTGTGAAACAGATGCTACTGTCCCAATATGTACATGGTATGCAATATCGTATATTTCATATCATGTACAGTGTGCAAAATAAAAAATGGACTACCCCAAATAACACTTGTTCTAATGATTGGATCTTCACGCTCTACGACTCATCCTTAGGGGCGAAAGGGTGACTTCAGTTATGCCAATTAACAAGTGCACATGATATTTTCAACTACAAATTGAACACACAAATGTTCTTTCTATGAATAAAAAAATTTTTGGCGAATTTGAATTTATGACTCCCAAAATATAGGGGTTATCACACTCTGGAAAATCAGGAAAGTGGTCTAAAGTTTGTACCCCTTAATGCTAATTTTACTTTTTTGCGTATTTCGCTACATCTCGAAAACTTTTAAAACGAATTGAAAATTTTCCACACAATTATAAAATTCGTTTATCCAAAGATAATTCCTCGCAAACAATAAATTTTAGTAAATCTTTATAATTTTTAATTATTTTTTAATAATCGTCGAATAAATTTGAACTGTAAGATGAATAATTTTTTGCATCATTTTGAAGAATATAATTTTACAAGGTAAAATACAAAATTTGAGTGAAATTAATCAAATAGTTTATGATATTCAGGTGTATTTTTCATTCAAATAGGTATTCAAATAGTCAGGTGTATTTTTTCAATGTCCTTTATTTGACTGATTAATACTATAATCATTCATACGTTTTCATTAATATACAAACGAAATTGATATTCGGGTATGTATTTTATAAACTAATATGCTCATATTTTATCATAGAAGCAGAATTTCATTCTTTATGAAACGTAATATTTTTCTTAGGATATTTTTTGGGACAGTGTTATTTGCTTGCATCTGTGGTACAGTATTAGATTTAAATGACCGTAAAATGAAAAAGAGTCATATGAAATATTCAGATGAAAGTAAGTTTTTATTTTAATGCTTTCTGTAAAAAATTGTGAACTATGAATATAAACTGTTTATAGTGTATTAAGAAAAGTGCAAGAATTGAAAAACTTATTGTAATGGTCTAATACATGGATTTTTAGATAATAAATAAGATAAAGCAAGTTCATTTCTCAATAAATTCATTAAAGTGGGGAATAAATAACACAATTCGCAATAAAAGTTCGAAAAATTTGCCAAAAGAGCACTCAAAATTTTAATAAATTTAAAATAAGTTTTAACTTCGAAAAAACTCACCTATTCAGAAATCAAAATGGCCTTTTCACCGCACAAATTTCAAATCTGTGGGCTGCACAGAGTCCCCATTGTATTTCTTTATTATACAAATTTAACAATTTTAAACTCTCAAACTAATTATGAAATGCTACTTTTTTATTTCATCTTACTCCCTGCACATTTTTCATCCTAAGTCTTACAATTCTTGAGCAGCAAAGCCAAATGTAACACAAAGTTATTACAAATTTAAGAAAGTGCGAAATTATTTGAGTAGAAATACTTAAAAATTCAATAGTTTTCAAACAAATTAGAACTTTAAAATAAAGCTCAGGCTTATTTCATAAAGCAATGACCCTTTCAGCAAGATAAATTTCAACACTGTGCTTATATTTCTGTGGACTGTATAATAGCCCTAATTAGTAACTCACTTATTTTTTACACTTATTTTTTACGCAGCAAAACAAAATGTGAAGTTGAACATATTGTTGAATAAAAAGAGATATACGAATATATTTAAACAACATATACTATAAAGAAAGAACTGATCTTCTTTTCTTGCTTAAGTTCATGATTATAAAATATTAAACTACGTGTTACTTACTTTTTATGTACTTTTTACATGTTTGTACTATGAACTTTTATTCTTCTTTTACAGGCTTTACTAAACGATTGCTGAAAGCTTTCTCTCTTTATACTAATACAGTAGAGTTATTCACAGAGAATTCCAACCAAGCGTCTCTGAATTGCGCTCAAGGACTTCGGGTGATTTTGTGTTTCGTGATCTTGTGGGCACATCTTATAATGTTTCCGACTCCGGGGAAAGAAATACGTTATAGTAAGAATATTATTGTTTACTTTTCATATCCATACTAAGGAAAATTATTTTAAACTTTGGTTGTTGAAAGTTATGGCAAAAATTTATTTTTACAACAGAATTTTTTAAAAAATTCTTAATATTATAAACATTTTCTGTATAAAAAAAACACTTGATAGTTGAGAGTTTGAACATGGTGTAAAGTACAAACTGAAATTAGTATTCAATTAAAGATTTGAAATACCGTAGCAATATATTGATATTTTTTTTTAAAAAAAGACTGGGGAACAAAGTCTGAAACTGATTATTTCATTTAAAAAAAAAATTTAAATATCCTGTTTAATATTCTTCTTAGAGCTATGAAGCTAAAAAAAAAATCTTGCTTTCAACAGTTTGGCTGAGGAAGAGGTTAACAAATTTGAGGAGATTTTCAAATTTGGAAAGACATCATGACTTATGTCATAGGAAAGTTTAATTCAAAATAAGTTTCAAAAACGACTATTTTTATTTTATAAAGTACACTGAAGATATGGTTCACAATTGACATTCAGAAAAAAAAATGTGCCCAGCAGAAAGTCTTCCCTTAGTAAAAGTAAAAAGTTGCAAAACCTCGCATATTGGTTGAAGAGGAAGAGTAAAAAGAAAGGGTCAATTAGGTGACAAAAATTAAATAGTGCTAACAACACAAATATAGTAAAATCGATGTATTTTTACGCTAAATAGAATGAGATTAAGTATGAGGGTAGAACTAATAACTTCAAAGTAAGAGTGGTATAAAAACTAAAAGTACTTACAAATAGTACAATTCTTGACTTGTGCTTATGTAGAACACACTTGACGCTGCTATCTTAATAAATATAGTATTGTTTGCAATGAATTTTTTACGTTGAATTGAATGAAACCAAACACGATTCAATGTAATGAATAGTTCAGAAATTGCAGGACTTATTATGTGTAAAAAATACTCTTTTTCTTAACTTGCACTTATTTATACTTTTCTTCTAAATTATTTGTCTCATTGAATCAAATATCACTTAACTTAAAAAAATATTTTGCATTCAGTGCTTCGCTTGTGTGGAAAGGTACAAAATAGTAATGCCAAAAATGTAAATAAGTACAAATCAAAAATTGTACTTTTAATAAATAAATCCCTCTCAACTTCTCAACTATTACTTCTACCGACATAAGTTAGGTTACACTTATGATTGTAAAGAATAGTAGTACCAATAATCATTATTTTCGTAAATTATGATTAAGATCACGGAAAATCTTCACTGCCACAGATCAGCATTTGAAAAGCTATGCGTAGAAATGTTTTCTTTTACAAATGATGGTTGTCTTTTCAAAATGTATTTTGATAAATCTAAAGGCAATAAATAATAAAAGAATTATGTATTTGTGACAGTACAGCAAAACAGTTTATAGTAGAACCAATATGAGGGAGTCTTATCAATGCCAATTCAAAGGGATATAAAACAGTTTACAAATAAATATAATTCCGAATTGTGTGGCAACGTAAAGCAATGGAAGATGTGGATTAAGTGTCACTTCACCAATTATTAAGAAATGAAATAAAATTTTGAATGATGACCTACGAAAAGGCTTTCTTATAAACTTATAAATGCAACGAAATGCATTGGAAATATACGTATAAGAAATTATAAATATATAGTTAAATTTTAAATAGGTAACGAGGATGACAACTAAGTGCATACAGTATTTAACGGCGTTGAAAAAGATTTATTATTATCATTATAAACTTAAAAAAGGTAATTGCTAACTAGACGAGATAATTTGAAGTCAGACTAAAAATTAGAACAAGTATGATTAGTAGCACTTTGTTTATTGAGCAAACATACAAATAAGCAAAAATGACGTGAAAATTGCAATACAAGAAGTAGGTATTGTCAAGAATGACAAACCTGTCACATTCCTTTATCAATTATTTGCCTTTTTGTTTTACGCAATTCCTCACCTATTCCTTTTATATATCATAAATATCGTTCAAATTCCTTTTTTTTACAGATTTTGAAGGTAGTTAAAAACAAATTAATAATAAGTTAAATAAAATGATGAAATAGGAAAATTTTTAAAAACATAGCTGCAAAAATTGTTTTAGAATAAGTTTTAATGCCCTTATCGTACTTTATCATTTTACTGTGATCAATGTTGAATAAAAAATGCTTTTTTTTTCAAAATTCAAAATAACTGTATAATATTATTTTAAAAATAATTTCCTTTTGTTTTTATAGAGAATTTTCATTTTGTATATGAAGTTTTAGATCCCATTGTGGAAAATAATGGGGTAACTTTTGTGGATTGCTTCTTTACTCTCAGGTACATGGCATGTATGGTATTCTTTACTATATTGTTATCCCTCCTTGCATTTCAATTAGTATTAACTTATTATTATACTGGGTGTCCGAAAAGTATGGACTTAGCCTAGCATGTTCAGAAGTACTGTATCAAAAATCGAAAAATATGTGTGGCAAGTATTTTAAAAAGATGTATACAGTGATGCTAAACCAGAACTTTCAAATTTAAGATATGGAGGATGAGAGGATGCAACTTCGAAAGATTAAATAAGAATTTTTTATTGCAGATTTGGATTTTTCAGTAAAAATACCTTAATTTGACTTACAAGTGTTTGATCCACATGCAGTTATACAATCAACAAAATAATAAAACAAATCTGTTACTAATTGCTTAAAAAACACCTATTTCAAGAAGTTAGAGTCAGATCAGACCTTCAGACTGGTAAGATCGTTAAAATCGCACCAATTTCAAATGAATTAATATAAGAAAGTAAAACTAATTTACTACATTTAATTACGCTCCTCTTCTGCAGGAGTCATTAGTCATTTTTTGAAAGATATAAAAGAAAGCATCTTTTTTTTCATGCATTTCCCAAGTGATTTGTACCTAATTTTTATTTTTGGCAATTATGCCGTCATTTCAGTTAATGTAAGTATTCCTTTCTGGAAAATCCAAATCTGCAATTAAAAAACAGTAATGTCCACTTAAGATTCCAAAGTTGCAACCCACACAACATCTAGGGATCGAGGTTGTGAGTTAAGTTCAATATCATTGAATAGAGCTTTTGAAAATGCATGACTCACATATTGCTTATTTCTCGAGATATTTAAACCGTCTTCATACTTTTTGGACATTCTGTGTACACTATCTAGCAATAAGAGTTTAATTACCATTAAAAGAATATTTTATTGACCATCTACAAAAATCCATTCTCTTTTCTTTTCTTGTAAATATTTTCCATTGTTTGAGAAAACCATTTCACATCATACTGAATTTAGTTAATCAAAGTTTTAATTAAATTGATGATACGAACTAAGGTAAACAACGTTTAGGAGCACAAAAATATTGTCTGATGAAGGTTGCACTGAAGGTTGATAAATCTGTTGCACTGATGAAGGATGCCTTTTGAGCGTCCAAAACAGCTGTCTGAATTTATAAATATTTTTGTGCTCCTAAACGTTTTTTACCTTAGTTTGTATTTTAGCACAAAGGGTGCCCACTTGTGTATTTAAATTGATAATGTTTGAATTTGTAATTAAATTGAAAAATTGAAAAAGACCAAACCATTTATTTTCTATTTTAACTGAAATAGCTGACTTTAGACATCTACTTTAAAATGTATCGACTTTAACATTATTAAATTGAAGCAATATTTTATTGCATTGATAAGTCTGAAATCAAGTCTCTTTATCTTAATGATATTAACAAATAGATTATTCTAATTTTTATTTGTTGTTTTTTTCAAAGGTCAATTATTTTCGCTGAAATTATTCGATTAATTAATATTTCATTTTTCTTGAAAAAATCAATTATTTCATCACTTATTTTTATATGGCAAAGTAAAAAGAAAACCGTTAGTCGCACATAAAAGGATTAAATATTTTCACGGAATTCGAACCTTTAAGTAAAATAATTACGTATAGTCGGATTAAGCAAAAACCGCTTAACATTTACCATAAACATTATTTGGTCTTACTGTTAAAATGTATTCAATTTGATATATTTTTTCTAATATGAAATTAAAATTGAAATAAATTTCAGGTCGTGCGATGTTAATAAAGATTAGATTAGATAACAAGCACGAGGTTTGCGACATTGTTAGGTTTCACGATTTTCATTTCTATTGTTTCAATGTAAAATTTGTTGAAATTATATAGCTCTTCAAAAGTGTATATAACTTCTGAGCTATTATTGTAACGTCTGGATGCATCAATGAAGAGACAGCATCACTAAAAATACTTTTTAATCTTAACTTCTTAATTAAAAAATATTTAATTTCAATTCAAAACTAACTGATAGAACAGTATATGTGAATTTCAATTGAGATTAACACATTTCCATTATATTTTAGTGCCTTTTTGCTTAGCTATCATACATGGCGAGCAATTGAGCAATCAAAAGGACATTTGAATGTTTTTAGAATTGTTTTACACAGGTATTGCAGGTATGTAAATTGAACCAGAATATTTATCAATATTGAATCATGTACGTATATGAACTTATCATGTACGTATATGAACTTATGCACGTATATGAACTTATGTACGTATATGAACTTATTATGTACGTATATGAACTTATCTTGAATGAATGATATATCATTTTAAATAAATAAGTATTTCACAAGCGGCTAGCACATCTTGTTTCCATCATTCTGTTTGAAATATATTAGTAATTTTGTTCAGCTTTAGATACGAAATGTAATGGTTCGAAGGGAATACTGATATATTTTTTCACATATTTCACTGTTCTTAAAGGAGTAGAAAATATGTTACCTGTCTTTTTTTCTTTCTTTAGTAATTTACTATTTTTGAATGTTATTTTAAAATGATTAATTAAATCCCCTTCTCGCTCCGCTCTCCAATTCCCTTGGTTGCTTCGCATTTATCGTTGCTTTTTTTCCCTCATAAAAAGTTACAAAAAATTTTTGTTTTTAATAAAGTATTTCAGTTGAATACCCGTTCTGTGTATGGGTAAAAAAGAAGATAATCAATAAATCAGTACTAATTGAAATCAGACACAAAACTAAAAGATATATACCGACACAATTAATGAAGCTGAAATAATTCAATTTTCTTTTAATTGTTAATCGTGGCCCTTCAGTAGCTTTATGTTATTAGAATAATCAAAACCCGACTTTAGAAGTTCATCCCATCAAAATAAAGATTTAAGTGTATTCAATATTATTTGGCATAATTCTGTTTCTCGAGGCAAACTTTTCAAAATTAAGCGCAATCAATTTCCCCCGATATTTAGCTGTCGTTAAATCCTATTGGCCCAGTATCTACATTAAAACAGTACAGTATTAATGCACTTCTAATAGGTTCAATATGCACTTATATAATGCTTTGTACCTGTATTAATATATTTGGCATATATTATAAGCATGCCAATTACCATAAGGTCAAAATTAAGTGAGCGCCATTGACGACAATACTATCATGGCGATTTTTAATGATTTCTCTGAACGAAAAAGTACCTTTTCTCCCATACTGTACTTTTTAGAAGATACTTATTTTTTTATTTTAATTAATACACATTACTAATATTAATTCAACACTGGTGTCAACAATAGTAAGGAGTTTCTTTACGCGTCACCTAAACGAAATAGTAACGTTTCCCTATTTGATTTTGATTTTTTAGTACGTATCTTTTTCTTATTTCAGTTAATACCCATTATCAAAACAGCGGCGTTGATGCTTACTTTCTTTTAATATTGTGAGAAAATTATAAAACTTTAGAAGTCTTATTAAAAATGTTTTTTTTTTTCATTAAGTGTCACTGCATTTGAATTTAGAATTCAGTAATTTTTATAAAACAAATATATATTTTTTATTTATTTTATGTTATTTGTATTTATTTTGCAGGTTGACTCTTCAAGTAGCTACCTTAGCGCTACTTTATCTAATCTTGCCGATATTGAGTTCGGGTCCGATTTGGAAATCTTCTTGGGAATCTGAACTTGAAAATTGTTACCACAATGGTTGGAAAAATGTGCTGCAAATTCAAAATTATGATCCCTTGAATGAAATTGTGAGTAAACGGTGGGAAGAGAAACACTTTTTTTTAAAAATATTACTTCTCTCAAAATTGCTGTTTTTATTAGAATTAGTTATTTAAGAGGAATAAGAATCTTCGGAGGCATCAGTAGATTCTGGAGACTGGTTAAATGAAAAAATAGGTGTAGTATCACGATTTATAGCCAGATATGCAACAGTATTCGAATACAAAGAAGGCAGATACGAATTTATGTATGAGTATGAGTCTGCAAATGGCAATCACGCAGGATTGAGTAATTAGAAGTAATTAGGGTTCTGATTTATCAAATTAACGTGACAACAACAAGCGTTAGAAGAATGCCAATAACTTTTCAATGTTTACGTGGTTTAAATTGTCGTCCATTACAAATTTGTATTACAATGTGATCATGTATTCGTTTAGTTATTATTAAATTTTCGATTATTCTTTAACCTTATTCGCTTTAAATGAAATCTTCATTTTCAAAAATCATTCTCTCTCTCTCGCTGCTCATTTTTTATTTTCGAACCACACGATGTGTGATGAAATTCATTTGTCCTGGTATGTTAGATCACCCTTTGACAATTATTTTTTTAACAATCTATATGTTTATTTCTATGTGCACGCTTCTGCGCATTTAAATCCATTGTATTTAATAAAGAAAATATATGACAGTGCCAGTCAACTCAACGTTGCGTGCAATTTGATAAAAGCTACGGATAAGATTTATGAGTACCAATGGAATATGGGTTCATCATGTCAGCATTTTTCTTCTTGCACCTATTTTCTCATTCAAAGATTAAAAACTTTCTTCGAATAACTTTTGAGTAGTGGAATGTCATAACATTCTATGTCTAACATATATTACTTACAAACTAATACATTATTATTCTTAATGGTCAGTAAATCAGTCTCTGGCAACAAAGTTCTTGGTATTATGCGTAAATAATAAAACTAAATAGCGCTTGTATTTATTTTTTTTTAGTTTGGAACACTGACCAATTTGACATG